GGCTGTCGATGCAAATGAGGTCTTCTTTGACAATTATAGCATTCCTGCTGACAGCCTCATCGGAGATGAAGGACAGGGCTTCAAGATTATCCTGCATGGCATGAATGCCGAGCGTTGTCTTTTGGCTGGCGAGGCTCTTGGTCTTGGGTACGCAGCTTTAAATAAGGCGGCCGAGTATGCTAGGGACCGAACTGTCTTTCAGCGTCCCATCGGCCAAAATCAAGCTATAGCACACCCACTCGCAGATGCATATATGAAGCTTGAGGCCGCCAAGCTTATGACCTACCATGCCGCCAGACTCTACGACGACAGCAGCAAAGAGGGCTCCTCCCCCGATGCCAAGATCAGCCCTGCTTCTGTGGGCGTGGCATGTAACAGTGCCAAGTATATGGCAGCTGAGGCAGCCTTCACAGCTTGCGAACGGGCTGTCCTGACGCATGGTGGTATGGGATATGCGGCTGAGTACGACGTGGAACGGTGGTTCAGAGAGTGCCTTGTCCCACGCATCGCCCCTGTTAGCCGCGAAATGATTCTTAATTACATCAGCGAGAAGGTTCTGGCGCTTCCTCGTAGCTATTAGGGTTAGCAAGCTTAGGCTCTGAATAATACATTATGTGCTTTGTCGCATCTTGAGCAAGGATGAATAAGCAGCCTGTTGTTATATCCGACCGAAGACCTTGCTAATATCTTTGTGACACGTAAAGGTGCCCTTGCATTTGTGTATTTGGTCTTTCAGAACAAGCTTGAGTCTTGTAATATTGATCTCGGTAAATGAGGCTTTCTCGCCCAGCACTAACAGCCGACTTCGGGATTCGGGAGCCGAAGCTGCTAGGTCCCTGGACACTAATCCTCCACATAAGATTTGGACGATTCCTCGCCATGACAAGTGTATGATCGCACCTTTCCAGTCATGAAACTATTTAACACCTCACTTTTTGGAAATCCACTCCGCCTGGGATGCCGCACCTCTCAAAGGCGATTTGCAAGCACTCTGGGCTCGGACGTTGCCCAACAGCTCTTGAGCCGACTCAAAGATCGCGTCACGACGCGTCGACAAGTCCTAGACGGCAACCAGCTCCAAAAGCTCAGCTTAACTCTCAACCGACGATATCTTCACCCTGGTCATGACATTGCCGAAACAGCACCAGCTAATGGCACGGTTCTACCCGCTGGCTACCATTTGGTCTATTTCACTCCCAACGGAACAGAATTTGAGTTGGGAGTAGACGGAACGGATCGCAGTTTCAATGCTCCGGCGCCCTTCACACGACGGATGTGGGCGGGAGGACGCATGCAATGGGCCAAAGACAGTCCCTTGCGCGTTGGCGAGGAAGTTGAGGAGCGCACCCGTTTGCTTGCTGCCGAGCCAAAGAAAAGTCGGGATGGAACCGAAATGATAGTCGTCACCATTGAGAAGGAGTTTTGGGGCTCACAGGGACTCTCTCTTACCGACCAAAGGTGAACCCTCCTTGTTTACCAATGGCGACTCATGTTAAGAAAGAAAATAGGTCTTGGGTCTTCCGCACAGAGCTCCCGGAGCCTCTTGAAAACACTACAGTGCCTACCAGCTTGGTAACAGTACAAACAAATGTTCAAACTACGCGGCACTCGCCGAAAGGTATGCTAGCCGCTACGGCGAGGCTCTTGCTAATATTGGCCAGGTTATCCAGAGCGCCAGATGACGTGGTCGCCCATATCTCTCTTCCGCTTCTCGGCGCTGACGTTCAACGCGCATAGAATACATTATGATGCGGCCTGGAGTCAGGGAGTTGAGAGGCATCGAGGCCTTGTAGTGCATGGTCCGCTCAATCTTATCAATTTGCTAGACTATTGGCGCGACGTCCACGCCGTTCTTGACGGCACAGGACCAAGCGAGATTACATACAGAGCACTGTCGCCTCTATACTCGGGCGAGCGCTATACGGTAAAGACTAGTCCTGAGGGGCAGTCCAAGGGAACTGTCGAGGTTCTAGTGGAAAGGGAGGGCACATTGTGTATGAAAGCGAAGATTTCAGAATGATAGCTGGTGGCTGAGCGGACGACTGATCCATGTGGGTAACTTACACCATGTGATTTTCCAAAGTCTCCCAATCTAATTGTTCTACGCCCGTGAGTGACAATGATGGATTGTGATATATCCAGTATAGGTCGTCTTCACCCTCCAGCACAATGTCGCCAAGGTCTTGCGCACCGGCCATGACGGCATCTTGTTCTCCAAGAGCATTCACACTCGTCAGGTCCTGGTCTTGTGGCTCACTCGACGCAATGGGCGCAGCTCCCGATGCTTGAAAGGAAAATGGCTGCATAAGCATTTGTGGCTGTGCAGCTTCGACATCTGGCGTCTCTGTCTCAAGAGTTAGGCTGGTGCACATCTGATCGATCTCGGCCAAACGCTTCGTAGCAGCTCGATTGCCCAGGTTGGAGAGGTGCGTCAGGATGCTCCGAACACTCTCGATACCTTGATAGGCCTGAGCTTTGTCAGAGTTGATGATGACCGCGAGAACGAAGATAAAGCCGGTGGAAAAAAGACAGTCGAGATCAAGGAAAGCATGCTTGGCTGCATGTCAAGGTTGTCAGCGGACAGTCGGACAAGCAAAGATAGATATGCTCACCAATGATGTCTTGTTTGCATAGACCATGAAGAATGACCAAGCTCTTGCGGGCTGCTTCGACGCATGTATCTGCAAGGCGGCGAAGAGCAGGGCTCATGGATGTGTACAAGTCGTTTCCTCCGCTGAAGCTGCTACGAGCCATATACAAGAGGATCGGCCGCACTGCGTATATGATGTTCTACCGCCAGTCAATTAAACTCCACACGAGGCTAGATCAACACGGCAGGGCCTTTACCTGATTAACCGTCAAATGGAGGGATGCGGCTGTCCTTGCCGATGACAGTTGTGAGCTGGACAACGGTGCCTCGTTCAGTATGAGGTCGGCAGGGTTTGATCCGCCTGAAATTTCCGCTGGCATCTCATTTTCAATCTTACGGAGCGACTGTAGGATGTCTTGTACTTCTTTGATAAACGTGGCCTCTTCTTGATTACTCTGAGAGTAGATGGCTGGAAAAAGGTCAGTGCGGCGCATCTTCACACGTAGGTGCACATGTTGACTAACTGGTGGTGATGCGGCCTGTGATCTGAGCCAGCTTTGCGTTGACCGCGATGGCAGCAGCAGATTGGTATCCGATCTGGTCTGCGGGCTGGGGCGCAGTGATTTCCGCGTCTGAAATGGACATGGGGAAGCCTACAGCAGCTGCAAGTCTTCTGCTACGGCGTCAGGCCATGGCGATACACACTATACTCAAGGATGACATACCGTTCCTGCATGTAGATAGACCACCAGAGCCGGTTTCGATGCACTGCTTCCGAACGTCTTTGACTTCTGTAAGATCCAGACTTGTGGAGAGAAAGACCCAACGATAGACGGAGGGCTGTGCTCGCCTGAAATGGTGTTAATTTCTGTTGGTAGAGTTGAAGGTTCTGCTAGATTACTGACATAGAGATAAGCGTCGTCTTTTCGGTCTGCGATTTGCAGGTAGAGGGCCGATAGTCCCATCAGTTCTATGCCCAAGACTCCTTGCTTTCGTAGGCTGCTCAGATCGGGCATGCGCTTAAGCGCCTCTTTGAAAAACTCATCGCCCGGTGGCTTAGACATGTCGTCCCACTTGGCTTGAAGAAGTCTCCCTATTGCAAAGACGAGGAGACACTCAGCATACCATAGCTCGGTCACTCCAGTATCAGCGGCGCCATCATTGAAGAGGGAGAATAAATTATCTGAGAAGGCTCTAACGTCGAAGAGCTGCTGTGATATACCCACGTTTAGGACAACAATGTTCAGCATGCTATGTGCGTCGTCTTCTGTAGGCCAGTACTTAATCTTGTCTATGCCTAGCCGGCTCTGGCAGATGGATCGTGGGGTAGCATCAGCAGGCCGAGCAGAGACTGGGCCTGGATTTGGCCTCGATCGTTCAATTAAGAGGGTTCTTAGCTCAGAGCTAAACGTGTCGCTCGAGGAGAGAGAGGTTCCAGGCGCAAGAGCTGGGTAACGAGAGGTCGATTAGTTAGCATGGTCTGATGGAAGCAGGAAAGCGATGCTGCTTGGCTTACCTCTCGGTTCCCGGGTTGGTCTTGGGCTCAATGTCGTCGCTGCGGGTTCGACAACCTCATGATGTGGAGATCGAGGAGATAGTGACGGCTGCTGCCGTTGCTGTTGCGTATGTTGGTCATTGCATGAAGCGTTACCTTGCACATGGATTTCGGACAATGAAGGCGGTCTCTGAGCTGCAGGAGATGGCAAGCTGTGTGCAGAGGCAGGCTGCCCGGAGCCTGCTTGGCTTGTATCTTTGATTAAGTCAGCACCCTAAAGCAGGGAAATGCGATGTGATGCGATGCCAAGTACCGTCACGATTCTCGTATTGTGCCACTCTCTCTTCCAGGTTTCGTATGTGGCTGGTGCAGTCAGCAGAGCGCCATCTTTCGGACTATGCAATGCATGCAGCGTACGTGACTGAATAGAGTCTCCGCCGAGACGGCCGAGTGAAAACACAGTCTAGGCCACGTTTCACGCAGTATACGCAAGGCCGCGTGCCGGAGCACTTGACTTTCTTGTCACGGCACATGAGGCAAGCTGTCGAGGTGCGTGGGCCGATGCCGACGCCGTCACCGCGTCTCGGTTTGGTCGGCGGCGGTCTCTGGTCCGGCCCGGGACCGTCCTGGATCGGCGTCTCATCCATACCTTGGCGATCGATCACTTCCGAGATATCGGCAACAGAGAGCGGAGGTATCGAGGTCAACGAAGCTTGCTCATTCGACATTTTGTTCGCTTGGACCGGATCCAGGAGCTACTCTAATTCCGGCATCATCGGATGTCGTTGCCGAAATAGGCTTTGCCCGATTTGGTAAAAGTGACCTGAATATGATATACTATACATCTTGGTCTTTTGTTGTGCAGGACTGGAAATGCGAATATCAGACAATTCGTCTTATTCGTGGATCTCAGCAATGTCGCTTTCTACTCATCTTCGTCGGGCATTACTGTATGGTGCGTGCGGGATAGCGTCTCTTCCATTGTATTGATGCTACGCAGCTGACAAGGCTCACCTGGATCTAGTCCCTGGGTCGTCGCAGAAAATGCTGACCAAGTCGAGCAATCTCTCCGTTGACTCGGTCATTTATGACCTGGAAGATTCTGTCACTGCCGAGTCCAAAGAGCTGGCTAGGGGACTGGTCGCAGATCATATTGTCGCAGACGCTATGCAGAGGTCTGTCCGAGGACCGAAAGAGGTAGCTGTGCGCATTAATGCAGTGGAAACTGGTCTTGCACTACAAGATATTCAAGCGGTATGAGTTTGGGGCTCGATCTGCCTTTTGCTTGATACACTGTGCTATGCTAACAGTTAAACAAAAGATCCTCAAGAACATGGATAACCTCGATACAATTGTCGTGCCCAAGGTTCAGTCTACAGCAGATTTGCATTTCGTTGCCGATGTGATCCGTCATGTTGCCCCTCAAAGGGAACTCTTTAGGCCTCCGATGACCGAGTCTTCCCAGCAGACGGAATATGCACCTCGGCCACGGCCCATACATGTTATAGGCTTGATTGAATCTGCCCTGGGCCTTGCCAATATATTAAGCATATGCCAAGCGGGCCAACGACTGGGATTGGTAGGGCTCGGTTTTGCTGCCGAAGATTTCATGGCCAACCTAGGGCTTTCGAAGCTTCCAGATCGGCGGGAAGTTCTCTTTGCGCGGTCCGCAGTCGTTAACGCGTGTCGAGCCTATAATCTTCCTTCCATCATCGATATGGTGTCTGTAGATCTGGCACATGGCACCGCTTTGGAAGAGGAAATCAGAGAGGGCCGAAGCCTTGGCTTTACAGGCAAGCAAGCCATCCATCCTTCTCAGGTCGAGGTCATACAGCGTGCCTTCGGCCCATCTACTGAGGAAGTACAATGGGCGGCAGAGGTTTTTGTGGGGGATATGGAGTCGCAGAAACAGGGCAGAGGCGCTTGGAAACTCAATGGTTGCATGATTGATGCGCCCGTCGTCAAGACGGCCACGGCATTGCTGGAAAGAGCTAGGGCATGCGGCATAGATGTCGACACTCATATCGCAAGATGCAAGGTCGGTTCCTTGGAGAAGAGGATAAATACATCACTGTGATGCTGGCAGTTTTAAACTGCTGTATGACATCTTGTGGAACTCTATATTCCTGGTATGCGGAAGCAAATACTTTGACTTGGTAGTGTATCGGTGACTTGCAAGTCCCGGCCTTGTTTACCTACGATCAGCAGTGTATGTTACGCTAGAAGAAGCTGCCTATGAGAAGTGAGCATTCACATATTTTCAACTTCTTGGCTGACCAAGAGCGGCATGCCCCAAACTTGTGAAGCTGTTATTTCCTGATTTGGCGGTGGTTTATAGATACAGAGCGGTCATTTGGAAGTCAATCAGAGGAAACGTCGACCGTCTAATTCATATTCTAGTAGCTAGGCTGAACTACAGCTTTTGGTCAGCTCAGGGACCGCTTCAAACAAGTCTGCCACTAGCCCTACGTCGGCGACTTGGAAGATAGGCGCGTCCGGGTCTTTGTTGATTGCTGCAATCACCTTACTGCCCTTCATTCCAGCAAGGGGCTGGATCGCCCCTGATATACCGATTGCCATATATAGCTCTGGAGCGACTACGTTTCCAGTCTGGCCAACCTGTAAGCTGTTGTCAGCAAATCCACTGTCAACCGCCGCACGGGATGCGCCAACTGCGGCCCTCAGAGAGTCTGCGAGAGGGAGAAGCACTTGATCGAAGGCCTCCTTTGACTTAAGTCCCCTTCCACCCGAGACAACTCTCTCAGCAGTTCCCAGCTCAGGTCGATCGCTCTTGACCAAGTCCTCCTGTACCAACTCCGCACTGCATGGGGTCTTTGAGCTGGAGTTTTCAATGCAGGTCTCGATAGGGGCGGGGCTGTCTGCGATTTCTGCAGCCGGAAAGGCTGATGCGCGTACTGTGAGATATTTAACATCATCGCTGGACTTGATTGTCATGACTGCGTTGCCGGCATAGATTGGCCTCACAAAGAGTGCTCATATTAACCAATGAGTATAGATCGCAATGGATGGAGACACCCTTGAGACTCACCATCTTCAGATTTGACCAATGTCACGTCCGTGATAGGCTGGTGGCCGTTGAGTGAAGCAGCGCGTATCAACGCGTCTCTACTGAATACCGAGTTCGCTGCCACGACGTGGGTGTATTTTCCCTGCTCGGCATGACTGGCAACTATCGCTGCGACGTCTTCGGGGAGGCGCTGATTCGAGTCTGTGGTCAGTGAATGATCAAAGCGAGATGGTGCATCAGTTATTCACAGCATGGTGTTGTTTTTGGCTGTCAGCAATGACCCTGTTCCAACCTTTGACTGAGGCTGCCTCCTGTGCGGCTCCCGTCGAAAATCCTCCTATCAGGAGCGCAGTGACGGGGCCCTTAAGGTAGGCGGCAGCGGTTATTGTGCGTGTAGAGTCAGAAGACAGTTGCCCGTTGCGAACTTCTAGGATTGCCAACGTTGAAGCATTCCGGCGGCTGCCGCACCGTATAGGGTAGTGCACTTTAGACAAGCATGCCCTGACGGTCCGTGCTGGAGCGTTCATGTTGATTTTCTAGATACCAAATGCCTGAGCTGCTTGATTTACCTGTGAGGTGGCAGCCCAGGCAATATTTGTCACTACGAGCTCGAATTGTACTACGTCAAAAATACTTGCTTGATGCTAATCGATTAATCACAATTGTCAACTTGTTCGCGTGGATCTTTTTGCCGAGTCACAGTGGAATGGCTCGGAACCGGCCTCGGATCTACGGCCCGAATCAGCTCGGTCTTGGTGGGGGCAAACAGTTTTGGCTGATTGGTTCACGCTCCGAAATCTATAGCTGCTCGGCTCGGGTACCATTATAGCACTCTTACTTGGAATTTTGCCCTAGCATAAGGAATAATAATTAGTAGCAGAGCGGTTGACAAGAAACCCCAGCATAATATACACAAACGCGTGATGAGTCGACCACTTCGAATCTTGGTTCCCCTCAAACGGGTTATTGATTATTCTGTAAGAGATAGACTCTGTGACATGATATTCATTTGCGAACTTGAAAGTAGCTAAGAATGTTAGGTGAAAGTACGTGTCCGAAAGGATCTCCAAGGCGTTGAAAAGAACGGTGTCAAGCACTCGCTCAATCCGTTCGATGAGTTGTCTGTGGAAGAAGCGGTAAAGGTTGTGTTGTATTTTTAGAGTGCCGAACTCAGCATTTGAATCTCAAGGTGTTTTGTTATCTACTTCAGAACATTGAACACATCATCAAGGAGTGCTTTCTCCTCAGCATAGTGAAGATGCTTGAGACCTGTAGCCGGGCTGGCGCTTGTTCCACGACCCGCAAAGAGCACGCGACGTCCAGCAAGGTGGTCTGTCTCGTCAAGGACTGCGTTTAATCGATCGCGCATATAATGCCACGCTCCACCGTTGTATTGCTCCTCTTGTGCCCAAACAATCGTCTTGGCATTCTTGTACTGATCAAGAATGGATTTTACCTCGGCCCAGGGGAAGGGATGAAGCTCCTCTATTCTCGTGATGGCCACGTCCTTGATGCCTGCCGCTTCTCTATGCTTCTGGATCGCTGCATATACTTGTCCCGAGCAGAGAACAACGCGCTGGATGGATTCTGGGTCCTCAATCGAGTGGCCGTGCTCAGGATCAGCGATGACTGGTTGGAATGTTGATGAGCCAGTGAAGTCAGCAATATCAGAGCGTGTTAAGGGGTGGCGAAGAAGCGACTTTGAGAAAAAGATGACCAGTGCTATGACAATAGTTAGTAAGTAAATAGTAATGCTTGGTTTACAGAAACACTAAGAGATCTTGGGGCAATTCAATAAGCTGGCAAGGATCATTCACGGAAAACACATACGCTTTCTGTACTCTCTTGCCATCTGCCGACGTAAAACGTGAAAGTAATTCGCGGGCGTAGTCATGTAGACCAATCCCATATTGGCATCTTGATGAGCACGCTCAGGTTCAGATGGATATAACCTACCCTCCTCCGAGCAGAGCATCAAGAAGCGCTCGATGCGGGCAGAGGAGTGCTCGGCGCCTTGTCCATCATAGCCGTGAGGCAAAGAGAGGACTAGGCCAGACCGGTCAAGCCATTTTGTCTCGCCACTGGCAATGAAATTGTCAATGATGACCTGTGTGTTATTTGCGAAATCCCCGAACTGAGCCTCCCACATAACGAGTGAGTGAGGATCGGCCAATGTCACGCCGTACTCAAAGCCCAGGGCACCAAACTCACTCAATGGTGAGTTCTCGACCTCGAATCGTGCCTGTTTCGGGGAAAGATTGTTCAAGGGTGTCCAAGACTCGCCAGTCTCCTGGTCGTGTAGCACAGCATGGCGCTGTGAGAATGTTCCCCGTTGGACGTCCTGCCCTGTAAGACGTACTGGATAGTTCTCCAGACATAGGCTTCCGAAGGCTATTGCCTCTGCGGTAGACCAGTCGACTGTTCCGTTGTCCAGGGCCTTCTTGCGACCCGCAAGGATTCGTTCCAAGTTGCTATGTAGTTGGAAACCACTTGGAACGCTTAGAGCCTTGGTAGCCACCTGCTCAACGATCGTTTGGTCAATGGCCGTGGTGGCGGGCGGTAGGATATGGTTCTTCAGACTCTCCGGAGACTTTAGACTCTGCCATGGGGCTGTGAAAACTTCCCGAGACGAGACGAACTCCTTGCTGGTGTCGTATATATCATTCAGACGGTTCCACACAATCTCGCGCTCAGCATCGATCTCTTCTATCGTGAACGAGCCTTCGTACACTAGCTTCTGGGCATATTTCTCTAATGACGGTGTCTGTGCAGCAACCTTCTGGTACATCAGAGGCTGTGTAAAGCTGGGCTGGTCGAATTCGTTGTGGCCAAACTTCCGGTAGCAGATAATATCTACAACGCAGTCGGTATGAAACGTTGCCCGCCAGTCAGCCGCTAGTTTGCAGAGGAAGACAACCGACTCTACGTCATCAGCATTGACATGGAATATGGGCGCATCAACAACCTTGGCAATGTCTGATGCATAAGGAGTTGATCTGGAACAATGAACATCCGTAGTGAATCCAACTTGATTGTTAACAACAAGCCGAATTGTGCCACCTACATCATAGGCCGGTAGGCGGGATAGGCCGAGAGTCTCGTACACAACGCCCTGTCCTGCAATAGCAGCATCGCCGTGAAGAGTGACACACATGTTCCTCTTCTTCTCCAGGTCGTTGTTCAATCGCTGTTTTGCAAATGCCTGGCCTGTGGCAACGGGATCAACAGCCTCGAGATGCGAGGGGTTCGCAAGAACAGAAATATCCACAGTATGCCCATCTGGGGAGATCCGCTGGCCCTGGTGGCCAAGATGGTACTTGACATCACCAGCCATGTTTCGCAGCATGTCCGAGCGAACCCGCCCAGCGAATTCAGCAAATATCGCTTCTGGTGCCTTTCCATACACAGTACCAAGCATGGTCAGGCGCCCGCGATGACAGCTGCCAATCGTGATATCTCGCACACCATGGACGTCAACGCTGTGGTCAATCATTGACAAGACACCAGGGACGAGTCCTTCAGAGCCATCCAAGCCGAAACGCTTCTCGTTGGGAAACTTTGCAGCTAGAAATCGTTCAAAAGACGTCCCCCAGATGAGGCCATTAAGAATTCGACGTTTCTCCTCTAACGAGAACTTTGTCGGGTTGGGTATCTCAAGACGGTCCCTTAACCAGTCACACTTGGCACGGTCTGGGATGTGCAGAAACTCAACTCCATAGCTGCCGCAGTACCTCTGTTCACAGGCCGATATAATGTCGCGTAGCTTCATTGACTTTTTGGTCTCCGTTGCGAAGCGAGGAAGTATGCCGGGGCCGAGGTTGAAATGGCGGTCCATGTCCTTCTCAGTAAATCCATAGTAAGATGGCTCAAGCTCGACGGCGCGTGCGAGACCACCCACGTGAAAGGCACTGGCCCGTTCACCCAAGGGATCTGTTTTGGCATGGTAGTGTCCCCGGGACTGATAAGCACGCACCAAATGCTGGACTTTGAGATGCAGCAACACCTCGGCTGTCTGGCTGGAGTCAAGCCCGGGTGCGGCCAACGGTTGACGAGAGGATAGAAGTCCTGGTGGTGGCTGGAACGCCTCAGATGCGGGCCTTGACCGGTCTTCCATGTTGCGGAAGTATGTCCTCCAAGAGACATGAACAGACTCTGGATCCTGTTTCCATGACCTAAACATCTCGTCGATGTAGTTGGCCGCCCCTCCCTGTAGGAATGAGTCGGAGGTGGTCTGGATAAGCTAAGTTTTAGCAGCTTGCATAAATCTTGTATAAACTTTCCCTTTACTTACCGGCGATGAATCTTTATCTAAATTAGATGTTCTAGTCATGGAGGCAATATCTTGGAACTGGTGGTGAGCAATACGGCTCTCGTCCCTAGTCAATCCCTCTGCGGCCGATGCGAATGTCCTTTGAGTCCATGGTAGATTTTCTGGCTGCATGCAAAAACACAACGCGGGTCTGACTATGGAGCGGCGGAAACCAACAGAAGTTACACCATGATACCGGAACTTGAAGGTTTCTCGCGCTAAGATAGTTTTCTGAGCATGGAGCATCGTCGTTGGCAGAATGCGTGTTTCTCAAAGCTTGGCAATGCTCTCAAATTTCTCGGGCGCAAAGTAGAATCAGATAAGATGGAACCCCCAGGATTGCAACCCAGTCAAAACAGAAAGTGAGTGACCTTGGTGAGTGGTCATGGTGAACCCAGGTACGGAGTACAAAGACATGATAACATGCCCACCTGAATTCCCGACAATGCTAGACAAGCCTTCGGGCATGACCCAATAATTTCCCATTCACACTTCCTCGCCGTCGGGGTACCCCCGGGCCGAAGGGTTGTTTCGCTACAAGCATATCCGTGATCTACGGGAACTCAAGCCGAAGCCCCAATCCCCGAATTTTAGCGTGCGGATGCGGAGGAGAAGTACTGTAGTACTTTAGGCCTTTCAACGTGATGCGGTAGACAAAGTTGCTGGCGAAATTCACGACCTTTAACGTAAATGGCATAGCTATTCATATTTGACATATTAAGTACATCGAAAATGTTGTCCGATAAATCGAAAAGTATCAAGGTTGTAGGAATGTCTGGTTGAGTTTCTTGAGGAAATAGATATATCTTAGACTGCTATCTACAGTTTACATAATTAGAGGTGTCGTCTGATGCGAAACACAGGATAACATAAAAGATTGAGAACTGCCACCTCTTTCGTCAATCATTCTTTTCGACAGCCGACGTCCGTAACAGTTGTACAGTCCTAGGTAATGGAATAAGAACCATGGGTCTCATTAATCTTTCGTCCTTTTTCATGCTACTCAAGGAGCATCCGAGCAGGGTCTTCGATATAGTTCTTGACGATGTTAAGGAAGTAGATGGCTTCTCGACCGTCAATCAGTCTGTGATCATATGTTACAGTGACATACATCATCTGTAGCACTCATCATTAGCTCACCGGTTTGCCAAGAATGCTTCAACAGAGCGCCTACCGGTCGAATCTCGGGCTTGCCGTCCACTGCAATCACACGATCTTTGATGGTGTTCATGTTGAAGACCGCAGCTTGTGGATAATTAATCACCGGCGTCCCAAACAAGGAGTTGAAGATGCCAGGGTTACTGATGGAAAAGTTACCACCATTAAGATCATCCATGGTCAATTTGGCTTCCCTAGCCTAGAATCAGGAGCATGGACGTCAGTAGAACCAAATGTGCCGGAGGCGTGAAAGTCTTACCTTCTGTGCCACGATGGCAATCTCCTTTTCCAACTCTACTATGCTCAGTAAATCACAGCCTTTTACCACTGGTGTTACTAGCCCCTTGGGAGAGGAAACAGCGATACTAATATCAACGTAGTCCCGATAGGTAATGAGCTCACGATTAGTGTCAATACTGGCATTGATTTCTGGGACTTGCTTCGCAGCTAGAGCTGTGGCCTTTGCAAAGGCACCCATATAGCCCAATCTTATGCCATACTGCTTTGCTACGTATTCCTTATACTTTGTACGCCATTGCATTAGAGCCGTCATATCGATCTCTTGAACCGTCGTCATCGAGGCACATGTATTTTGAGACTGCTTGAGACGTGTTGCAATGGTTTTGCGCATACGTGACATTTTCTCCTGCGAAAAGTAAGCATTTCCGATGGGGGACACATGGTTTCTGGATATTCAACACGTACCACGTGCTCAGCTCGCAGGGAAGACTCGTGTCTTGAGTCAACAGCATATTCGTCAACAGGCTGTGGTGAGCTTGCCGGTGAAAGTCCTGCAGGAGACTCAGATAGTGCTGAGCTTTCGAATGCCTGGTCGTTGGCTTCGACACTCTTGCTTTCTTCTGGTTCATTCTGGAATAAGTCCAGGGCATCCCTTGCTGTTTCGTTAGACGATCGTTCTTCGGTGACGCCAGGTCTGTTGTTGCCGTCACCAGAATCGGGTTCTATCCGGGCGATAGGCTGTCCAATCGTGACAACATCGCCTTGATGAGCTAGGAGCTCAGCAACAACTCCCTCTTGAGCAGCGTTGACTGCCACGTCGATTTTATCCGTCTCGATGCTGGCAATCTCTTCATCTGCTTCGATTCGATCCCCGACCTTCTTGTGGATGGTTGTAAGTGTGCCCTCGCTGATAGACTCGGCCATTGGAGGGACCTTGACGGTAAAGCCCCCATATTGAGCTGCACTATCACTGAAGTACCGGCTAGATGGCGTGTACAGGGTTTGGGTATTTTGATGAACATATGCCGTATGTCTTGCCAGTGCGAGGGTAAGCCGAGAGTGCCGAGCCACATATTGTAGCCGTCGAATTGGCAACGACGGCCATTGGCATATAGTTCTCTCAAGCATCTTTTCTGTGTATACGGTAGTTGGCTGGAGTGTAACCCGGTATGCCTTTAACAACCGACATACCTGGGGTCAAACTACGGAACAAGTATTTGCCCTTTTACACATGCACTTTCGGCCAGGCCCATGTGGAACGCAACGGCCGAGCTTTGGGACAAGACCTAGACGAGGGGCTATGGAATTTAGTTTCGGGATGTTTCCTCCGAGAGGCCTTGAGTTCGGCTTCGGCTTCGGGTCTGGACTGCACCCCCTTACTCCAAATCTTGGAGTCCTCTGTGCGAACTTCAAATCATGTACGCACGTTATAAATTTCAAGAGTGTTCACGCCATTATTTACACGTGCATAAGCCTGTGACAGCCTCCGTCGGCTTTGTTCACCGTTCTTGTTTAAGCTTTTGATAGCGACCGGACTTTACTATCTATGCTTGAGCTTATCAAGATTGAGAGGATATCAATCAATCAGGACTGTCCAGACATTTTACACGGTTCCGAATTACAGAATGTATCGGAAGGCCTTGTCCTGGCGATCGGTCAAGTCCGAATCAATGGCCACGCCGCTCTGGATACCCTCAGCATGCCCTTGTGATTCCACCATATAGTCAACGTGACCCTCTGCTGCCTTTTTGTCTCGCAGTCTGTTCTCCTTGTCGAGCAGAAATGCATAGACGACCAATGTAATCATCAGGTAAACCAAAGAAGCAATGCTAAGGATGCATCCCTTGAGATACCGGGGCGCATCATCCTCGGTCCAAGCCTGAGGTGAAATGATGCAGCCGACGCAATATGCCACGAAGAAGATGGTCGTCGTTGACGACTTCTTGGTGTTTCCTTTTACGTTGCTAGCCATGAGTGCCGAGCAGCTGCTAAGCAAGCAGGTTACAGCATTGGCCATCCATGTCGACACAACGATGCCCCAAGACTTGGAGGCAGGCAGCGTCGCGAGCAGTATAGCACCCAGAAGGGGTATGCAGCACAGGAAGAGGGCGGTGCACGTTCGGCTATACTTGCTCTTGACAAGACGCGGGATAAAAGCCCCGAACCAAGTGGTCAGAATGTTGAGGCCACCGCCAGGGAGCCCCACGAGCATCGTAGTGTATTTATCGTAACCGAAGCCGTTGATGACGATTGAGGAAAACTGCCGTCAGTATTAGTAAGCCCTGTAAATCAAGTTACCTGCGAGATGGGAAGTCTACTCGCCTTGATTATGGCTGTCGTGAGAGTGATACCGAGCGCCATTGACACATAGAGCCAAGTGATGGGCGATTTGTAAGCTTCGTTGAACTGGGATCGGTTGAAGTCCGTGCGGTCGCGAGTGCTGCGATCTATAGCGAGCCTCCTAGTCGCGATCTCTCGTTGGCGAGGCGTCAGAAACCACGCTGTCATGGTGTCCCCGGGGAGAAGGAAGTAGAACAGAAGCCCAGAGGTCACAGTCAGCCCGCCAATGAGAAAGAAGAGTACCCGCCAGGACTCGATGGCAAGTTTGGCACGACCAAGCCCATACATGATGAGAGCGTTGGTGATCTGAGCGAAGCCATTCATGGATACCCAGGTGGCAACTCGGACAGGGTGCTCTCGACGCTTGTACCAGACCGAGGTCAACATGACAAAGGCCGGAGAAACGGCACCTTCGGTTAGACCGAGGAAGAATCGTGCAGCCATCATCCCTCCAAAGTTATGGGGGAGACCTACACAGACGCATGCCACCCCCCACACAACAATGGTGCAGCCAATGAAGGTCTTTAGAGGTAGTCGGCCGAGAAGGTATGCGGCAGGCCAGTTGGACAGTAGCTGGCCAAGGTAGAACACCGAGACACACCAGCTGTACTCTTCGCCGGTCAGGTTCAGATCCGAGCGCAATCCGAAGATTGCAGCGTATGTAATCGATTGCTTGTCCAAGTCTGCGCTAGTCAGCCTCTTATTGCCCAATTCTGAAGATGAGGAGACTCACACATGCAGAAATAAACCAAGGTCATCAGGGGGAGCACATGGAGATCGAGCTTGCGCACGACTTGCCTCTCCTCGGCTTCATCGATAGCCTCGAAGGTGACATGGGTGTCGTCTCTGTGCTCGATCTCAGTTGAAGCAGTGGCGAAGTCCTTGTTCTGCGTGTCCTCCTTTGTATCCATATTGCGTTATTGGTTGGTTGGAATGTGTAGGAGGTTGGTGATAGGAACAAGTAGGAACAAGTGAGAACAAGAGCTTGGTGGCATTTTATACCAGTCTCCGAGAGCCTAGTAAAGTCTCGGCCAATCTGAGGCGTCATGTTATCAGTGACCTTTCAAGGAGACTGCTCCGGGGTCCCCAACTTCTCAAGCCGGATCGCATAATGCGGGGACTATCTCAGTCCGGGGAGTTTGCGGGGTAAAGTTCAGTCTTCAGCTCTACCCCACGATAATGTCCATTGAGTGGGTGAGCAAGCCATTCCACTCCTCGCGACCCCGGGGTCGAGGCCACCGCACTGTCTTTTGTTAATCCCCGAAGCGGGACTAGTAGTAACGTGAATGACTCCGAGTAGGGTCAAGGCATGAACACCTGGCGCAAATCCGGATCAATACCGGAAACTGTTTCCGAGCTTAGTCCTACTAGTAGTTCAATCACAAATCTCGGCTGCCGGCTTGTGACGAGCCGAACCTATCTATTGCACAGTGGGGTATGAGCAATGTACCAATACAAGTGGTGAAAGTGTCTGATACTCTCAGAGTAAGATAGTATTAAGAGTAATTGTTTATCACATCCTGTCCCTCAATCTCGCAGCGTACTATAGGATTTGATCGGTTGTTCTGTTAAAGAGTGGATTCTTCTTTGAGTGCTAGCGACGTGCAATACGAAGCGGATACTGTCACCAAGAACTCACAGCGGAAGATGAACCCTCATGTTCCTGGTGGCATGATCTATACACCACTCATGAGAGGAATCTTGCCCTTCATCAATGGGGGCATTTCTGGTATGATTGCAACCACTGTTATCCAGCCCATTGACATGGTCAAGGTAGGTATTGAACCAAAATCAACTCTCCTAAAATGACATATACACTCAGTACAAGACAAGGTGCGTTTGCAACTCATCGACAGTAGCCAAGCGGGTGTATCGAAATCCACGCCACTGAAAGTGGCGAGGACAATTCTCGCCCAGGGCAGAATCCTCGACTTTCACGCCGGCCTTTCCGCTGGTCTCGTCCGTCAGGGTATCTACACAACATCCAGGCTAGGGCTCTTCGACATGTTCATAAAGCACCTGCCGCAAAATCACCAAGAACAAAAAACAGCCATCACATTTTCAGAGCGCTATGGTGCCGGACTGCTAGCAGGTGGCCTTGGGGCTTTTCTAACAAACCCAACAGACCTCGCCCTAGTCCGAATGCAGTCCGATGGTCTCTTACCAGCTGCTCAGCGGAGTAATTGTAAGTCAGTTGTCGACGCCTTGAGATCCATCACTAAGGAGGAAGGCGTTCAGGCTCTTTGGGCTGGAGCGACACCAACTATTGCCCGAGCTATGTCGCTGAACCTAGGCCAGCTCACGTTCTTCTCCGAAGCCAAGGCCCGGCTAAAGACGCAGACCCAATGGCCGGCATCTACGCAGACCTTGGCTGCTAGCGCTATTGCTGGCTTTCTCTCTGCCGTTGTTGGTATCCCTTTCGATTTCGTCAAGACGCGGCTGCAGATATAGAAGCCCGGTCCTGATGGTAGGCTAGTCTATAACTCTATGGTCGACTGCTTTAGAAAGGTTGCCGTAGAAGAAGGCTGGACACGATTCTATCGTGGCTTTGGAACGCTCTATTTTCGAATTGCACCACACGCGTAAGTTCCCAGCGTTTATAGAATCTCTCTGACGCTGACATGTCGAAAGTATGATAACGTTAGTTACAGCGGACTACCTCGGTTGGATAACCAGTTAGTGTCGTAATAATGACCTTCGTGTGGAGACCTCTGAGTTAACTTGAATTAATGAGACAGTGCTGTGTAATTCAACTGGCTTTGGATTATTCCAGATATAGATCTCTTGACTGCATAAATTAAAAAGAGAGAAGTTATTATCCTGTCTGTACTGCGCGTCTAATCTGAAGTGTACACTGAAAACAACCGCATTTTTTTATTAGCAATTGACCAGGCTGAGCTGCTCACCCTAGAGCTGAAGATTGAAACAAATCGATCCAAGCAGTTGTGAAAGTCCTCCTTGGCACCCTATCGACCTGCCAAGTCTTCCAAAAACGGTAATCCGCTTCGGCAGTTGTCGCCAAGCAAAAAAAGCCTCAACACCAAACCTGAATCTCGTGACATTGAATCAGAAGATTTTTCACGACATTTTAGGTAAACAGGGTCCACTAAAATAGGCAGCGAAATAAAAGTTTTTACCCCGTGTCATTGAATCCACAGGTACTCCGCTGGAGAGAGATCCGCATGGAGTGGAAGGCCGAGAATTGGGCCGATGGGAACTGGGGAAAGATGGTGATCGGATGAAGACGAAGTTGAGTGCCTAAAACATCAACGGAAGTTTATCTACATCGAGACGCAGAAACAGCTTCACATCGATAAGTCTAATCAAAACCAACTGGCGAAAGTGTAGAAGATAAATGCCCTAGGCTCAATTGACGCGACCGGTAATCAATCATGTATGAGATGCAACGACCAGTGTAGATGAAACGTTTCGTCGCCAAGAGTTAATCCAGTCTCCATAACCATTGCAACATTTAATACTCGTTCTAGAAAACAGACCGGTAATAAGAAACCATCGTTTACAAAAAATCGCGCCATAAACACCCGGAATTAATATCGTGATGGAGGCTCTGCGGTCCGTCATGCACCGTGCCCTTGGCTCTGAAGCGAAAAGAAAAACTTGCTGGTGGAGAATCACGAGTCGTTCCCCCAGCGGAGCCCCAAATTGGGTCTGTCGCGTGCCAAAGCAACTCAACTCACTGATGACATTGATCCAGTCTGTTAATTCCGAACCCGCCAAGAAGAAAAGCCGAGAATTCAGCTGCCCAGACACAAAAACGATCGATCGCCCAGGACGGCTTCTTCGGGATGTCTACTTGGCTAATCTTGGCCATCAAGAGCCTGGCGAGTTAAACCCTCCGGGCTGTAAAAATTACAGGGATTAATTGGAGATGGTGCACTGTGACGCAATAAACGCGGGAAATAAGCAGGACCTAAACTGAAAAATTACGAGCCTCCTTCGATGAAGTCATGTCATTGTGGGGACAAAAGTTTATCAAGAATTGTGCTGCCTGGTTGTGGACTCTAACGGTTAAACCGATTGGAAGAGTGATGAACGCTTGAGCCTATTAGACTAGTTTGGTTGTTGGTTGAAATCCTTTTGTTCGTCACGACGTCATTGCTGAACCTGACTCGGCCGAGTTCAAACAGAGAGACTTATTGCTGTTGGATGAGTCTCTGATCAGCAAATTAGCTGCGTGATGGAATAACCACATCACTAAGCTTGTCTGCTCTCGGCCATGTAAAGACCCCGTAACTGCATGCAAATCTCACCCTTGACTGCTGATCTCTTTCTTTGCGTCGGCTACAACGGCACACAATCCCAAACTCCTCTGTCTTCCCCACGTAGACTACACCACCATCTGGGGGGACGCATCGGTGATGTCAAGAGTGGATTCTCCCAAGTTTTGTTCTTGTCAAACTGGTGATCCCCCAGCTTTTTAAATACCTATCTATCCACCGTCACCCCCATTTTACCAACAAGCTTAAACTTCAGACGTACCAAAACTCTGGTAGTTGATCAATATGCCGACTCACTTCTCAGACGATCCGCCGCAGGTCATCAATCAGGATGACCTGCACGTCGCTAACTCGCGGCTCCAGCAGAACTTGGATGGTTCTACAGACCATAGCGGCGATGAGAGAACACACAATGCTAACGGTGCTGGGCTGGAGAAGCTGGGTACCTACGACAAGTATGAAATCACCGAGGATGATTGCTACGATGAGCTGGGCTATTCGTTCCCCAAGTGGAAGAAGTGGTACATCCTCACCGTCATCTTCTGGGTAAGTTTGCTCAAGCCTTGGTGTTTCGGCTCCTGGCTAATGACTCATAGGTCCAAGTATCCATGAACTTCAACACCTCCCTCTACTCGAACGCTATCCCAGGCATCTCCGAAGAATTCAACGTCAGCGCCCAAGCCGCCCGCTGCGGCGCCATGATCTTCCTCGTCCTCTACGCCTTTGGCTGTGAGCTCTGGGCTCCCTGGTCAGAGGAATTCGGTCGATGGCCAATCATGCAGGCTTCTCTGTTCCTCGTAAACATCTGGCAACTCCCCGTCGCGCTGGCTCCCAATTTCGCTACCATCATGGTCGGTCGTGCGCTCGGTGGCCTTTCATCCGCTGGTGGCTCTGTCACGCTCGGTATGATCGCTGATATGTGGGAGTCTGACCACCAGCAATACGCTGTTGCTTATGTTGTCTTTTCTTCGGTCGGTGGTTCGGTCCTCGGACCCATTGTTGGTGGTTTCTGTGAACAGTACCTTCATTGGCGCTGGTCAATCTGGATCCAGCTCATTCTCGGTGGATTCATCCAAATTGTTCATTTCCTTACGGTTCCCGAGACACGAAGCACAATTCTCATGAACCGCATCGCCAAGAAGCGCAGAAAGGAGACAAACGCCAACTTCTGGGGCCCTGATGAACTCGTACCCTTCCGTGAGCGTTTCTCTGCCAAGGAGATCTTCATCACATGGACCCGTCCCTTCAAGATGTTCCTCACAGAGCCTATCGTCCTTGTCCTTTCTCTCCTCTCCGGTTTCTCCGACGCTCTCATCTTCATGTTTATCCAGTCTTTCGCTCTGGTTTATAAGCAGTGGGACTTTGATGCTGTTCAGATTGGTCTGACATTCCTTGCTATCGGTGTTGGATACGTTATAGCTTGGTTGGCATTTATTCCTGCTATCAAGAAGAACATCAAGGAGCGAAGGGAGAAGCCCAATGACGAGCGTGCACAGTACGAGTCGCGCCTGTGGTTTTTGCTTTACACTGCACCTTGCTTGCCTATTGGCTTGATTGGCTTTGCTTGGACGATTCAAGGACCACCCATTCATTGGATTGGTTCTTTGATCTTTGCTGCCATTGTTGGTATCGCCAACTACGCTATTTACATGGCTACTATTGACTACATGATCTGTGCTTGTAAGTTTGCTTGTCTTCAATTGAGGAATCTCAACTAACAACATCTAGACGGCCCTTATTCTGCTTCGGCCACTGGAGGTAATGGTTGGGCTCGAGATTTCCTCGCTGGTGTTCTTACCGTCCCCGCTACGCCATTCTTCAGTAACATCGGCGCTTCATCCGGCAAGAATCTCGAATACGCTTCGACCATTCTCTTCTGTATCTCTTTTGTTCTCGTGGTCGCCGTCTACGTTATCTACTGGAAGGGCCCGGCTCTTCGAGCACGATCACCCTTCGCTCAGCGTCTCGCTGGTGAGCGCCAGGAGAACACTGAGCAGGGACGTCGCGGAAGTGTTGCCTACGATGCTCGACGAAGGAGTAAGTCATTCAAGCCTTGCGCTGAGATTTAATACTAATGAACTATAAAGGCTCCACTGCAACTGGAACGTCCGACGTTGAGCGTCCCCCCGTTGCTGCTCGCCCAAGCTATGGACGCCAGTACAGTAACTCGAACCGTTTCTTCGGCGAGAGTCGTGTTACGCCTCGTGGAACTCCCAGAGGTACACCGTCGGCGAGTCGTCGCAACAGCAAGCATTACTAAAAGGAATGGGGGTGTTTGCAAACTTAGTAATAACGAAATGTCGGCCATTTTCTGAATGATACCCTGCTGAAAACGAGCTTCATGAATTGTATATTATCTACTTATAGCATTTAAATATCCAATAACTATAAATTACCTTGATTATGGAACGAAAGTGATGAACTCTTGTTGAAACATGGTGCTAGACACTTCTGTGATGTATGTAGGTGCAGTAAACATACCTACGTTATTACATCGTTGTGTGCTCCTCAGAAGAGCCAGTCGAACAGTGACGCTTCCTGCGCTCAGGGCTTAGTTTGCAGTAGTTACGTCAACATGGTGCTTCTCCAAGCTTTGAGAGGGTCAAAATAGGCGATGGGTATAAGGTTACCATGAGCAACTCTACCTATGATGAGTGATTTCTTAGGACTCGAACTTGTACTGAAATCTCCCAATAAATTAAAGCTCGTTGCGAGATATGGAAAACGCTATTACTAAGAACAGTGAACCTACCGCTCTGAACTGCAATGGTATTTGCTGGGAACATCCTTGTGCACCGTTGCGGGCCTAAACAAACCCACAAGGTCAGGACATATCTAGTTTTGACGATACATAAGGTATTGTTAATACAAGAGAGAACTGAATCTAATTACATGTCATATCATGTTTTCTTCCTATTCATCCGTGTCTTTTACCATAGTCCAAGCACCTCTTACAGAGAACCTCTCCGGATAACCGAGCCTCCTTCTTCGGTCGTTTCAATCTCAATGAAGTACTGATCAGAGATAGAGTTTTCTTGGTCGTAAGAGACTTGGGAGAACAGTTGCTCACTCTGCAGACCAATAGTTGCGCTAGAACCATGTTTCGTGGTCTGATAGTACTCAAACCTGATCAAGCCGGGATGGTCCTCGTAGAAACTGACCGAGAAGTGCTCACCCGTGCCCATTAGGTCAGGCCGAAGACTGCCAACATTATACTCGATAGTGAACGTGTTGCCGCGGGCGGTTTCATAGACGTCGTAGAAGATGCCTGTGTTGCAGGTGCCCTCGGTGATCAGCAGATCGTCCCAGTAGGGCATGATGCTAGTGCTCGGGATGTTCCCGGCGGGCAATTCGTTATTGGAATAAGCACTCGCGCCCTCGTCTAGTGACAGAAAGCCGTTCGTGCTGACGTAGACATTGCTTGAGGCAGCGCCAAAGAACTCGATGGGGAAAGGTGCAGTGACGCTGTCGTAGGCATCATCATATCTGCCATTCTGTGCGTCAAAAATCGGAGTCGGGTTGGCTAGGAGAATGGTTTGGGCACAGCCGGGGTCTGCGGCGGTTGTAGTAGCGGCCTCTGTAGTAGTAGTCTCGGCCTCTGCGGTGGTTGTTGTCTGAGCCTCTGCAGTGGTTGTCTCCTCGGTCGTGGTTACAGCCTCAGTGGTAGCTGTAGTTCCAGACTCGGCGGCGGTTGTTGTCTCAGCCCTGGTAGTAGCTGTCTCCCCAGTCGTACTTTCAGCCTCGGTCGTGACTGTTGTCTCTGCTCCTGTTGCCGTCTCACCAGCAGTAGTGGCAGTCTCGTCCGCTGTGGTTGTTTCTTCCTCAGTAGTGGTAGTGCTAACTGATGCAGCTGTGGTGCTGGTCAAAAGCGTAGTAGCAGTCTCGGTCTCGGCCTCGCTGGTTCCAGCGGTAGTACTGGTCTCAATAATTGCCACGCTGGTATCCGTGGTGGAGGGTACGGGGAGGATCGTGGTCGTAGATTCAGCGAGCGTAGTTGAGGCCTCAGAAGCTGGGACAAGTCAACGAGGGTTCTCATCTTGAACAGCAGGTTATGGATGCAAAGGGACGTACTGGCAGAGGAAGTCCTCGGCTTGCAGGGACCGGCTACTACCGACTCCACTACAAAAAGGCTCAAGGCCAAAGACAAGAGTTTCTTGGGATACATATTTCTTAACGAGTGACGGGGCTTGTAAAGAGTGACGAGGACGTAACGAGCGGCAGTCCCTCAAACAAGAGACACGTGAGAACGAAGGATAACAACGTTAGGGCTGATGAATGGAAGAGCCATCTCTGGATGAGTATAAATATCACAGGAGCCACGGAGTAGCCCCTGGTAAGTCGAGTCAGGGTCTTTCCGCCGTCCCCTGGTTCCCTGTCAGGCGCATGATGTGAGCACCAGCTGTGGGGTCTATCAACTCAAATTGTCACCAATCGGGGATCCAGATAACCCTCAGGATGAAAGAAAGCAGGGGATAACGGAAACACGCTGACCTGACTTAATTTGCTTTACTCTCTAAGTGATCGATAGTCTATTACTAGCGGGGCTAGCGTTTTCACCATTGCCCGCTAGCTTGGCCACGTATAAAGATAAGCTTAACTCAAGCCGGAGCGATAGGGAGGTAGCTTGACCAAGAACAATTCAAGGCACTAGAAAAAGTTTACATGGCGACCACGATTCGGAACTAAGAGAAGAGCTCACAGCGAGAAATGAAACCGCAAGAGAGTAATTCTCGATCCAAGAAAAAGCAAAACCTAAGCGAGCCCAGCTGAAAGCAAAATGCCGCTATTTTGAAATAATTGGCAGAACTAGCTAAGTTATTTCCGCTAGCTCAGCCAGCCACATGCAGCCACCATATTGCGAATAGCAAAATTTGAGCAGCAGGCCCCCTTTACGACTACAGCACCAAAAACATTTATAGCAAGTCTCGGTCCGTGTCGCAAGACTTTGGGCGGCCGGGCGTGTGAGCTGATAACGTTATTGACTCGGTTATCCCCGTGGGTCAGCCAGAACATAGAAATCCGCTTTTAGTCGATGAGACTTGTAGTTGATTGACGTTCACGCCTTGAAACTTCCAAGAACAGATGCAAACTTGACAAATTGAGTGAGACGTATATTGTAATACTGAGATCCTGGTACTGAATCCATCCCTCACTTCTCTGCTCTCTTCTGTCTTCTGTCCCTAACCAATGATAATATCTAGCTCAAGGTTCTCCCCCTCTTTAACACGATACTTTGCAGTAATGTTTCTATGATCAATATTCAAAACCGACTGCTCAGTCTTTGTAGCCTCGCGCCTCTTAGTCTTATCAGTAGTCTCGCCATAGTACTCAGGCAGAGACTGAGCACCGGTGATGTTATCTGCAAGGCCAGTGATGATGTCAAGCCAGGGCTTGTACACGTGCACACCGATGGCAACGGAGAAGGCTTCCTTGCCTTCCTCGTTCTTGAAGCGTAGCAGGCCTCCGTTGCCGCTGTCGCCCATGTAGAGGGACAGCACGCCGTTTGACTCATTCCACTCGCAGTTGGTGTAGTGCCAGCAGACCGTCTCGACGACGCGGAAGTAGGCGTTTTGGTTGGTCTGGTAGACGCGGACTTTGACGGTGTAGGGCATTCTGGGGGTGTTAGTAGGGGCAATTAGGAAGAGAAGAAGGGACTGACTTGAATGGTTTTCTTGGGGTGAGTTATAGTAGACTTCTGGTGCTTGAGTGTCGAGTTGTTTCGTGGATGGCGAGACGGATAGTATGCGTGGCAGTAGTCAAGACTATTATACCCTTTCATCTCCCATCTTCTCTCTTGTTTCTTTTCGAGAAACCTTTTGTCTTCTCATCGGTACTGAGATGTCATTTCTCCTGACGTCAAATTGAGATGTTGGCGTCTTGCGGTGAAGGCATATGCATGAATACCTACGCATGTGCCGTGTCTCAGCCTTGGATTCTTGCACCGCTTGTCAGTAAATTCGTTTATCAGTAGTCCGTGTAAGACATCTTACACTGTATAAACTTGCTCAGCTATGCCTTTAAGGGATAATTGATTTGCGGCGTAGAGTTTGATAGTACCTCCCAGATTTGACTTTTTGAGGCCCGAAACACTGAAATGGATTTTCAACGTAGTGGTGAAACATGAACCTGATTGGCAGCATCTAAGCCCTACCAGGAGACTTTGTACAGGCAGGTTTAATCGTCATATAAGTTATGCAGGCGCACAACGCTTGATTGCATTCAAGTAACCTTGGAAATTTGATTTCTCTAGTATAGCTTACTTCAATAGTGCGACAAAAGACTGCAGAGGAAGCAAAGTACAACCCACGGCTCATGATAAGCGCGCTCATCACACTGGCTCACTGTGAAGCTTTCAGCTGTGACAGTTCGCATGATCGACGTTTTACTTTCCTAACTGTATGAGACAGGTTTCCGAACCCCTCTTTACCCCTCCGACAGAGCATGTCGTCCAGAGGAGACTGATGCTGAAATGCGGCCCGTTCCTACCCGGGGCTTGGGTTCTATAGTTTTCTATTATGACGTCGGGGCGTATGCGTGTTTCTAGCCATTGGTCTTGGTTGAAAGCTTGATCTCGTCGGTCATCGCGATTTCAGTCAATTGATATGATAACTGCATATCCTGTCTCAGACACCGTCCACGGAACGGATGAGCCCGATTCCGGTCCTCATATTCCGATGTCGGATGAATTCTGCCAGATATCCCAGAAAGATTCCAGGCACATAAGGTTATGCGAATCTCTAGAGTTATGCATTGAATATATTCCTTCTGTTATGATAATTGAAAGCAGGTTGTTTAACGAAACGCTAGATGGCTATAATTAAAAGGCTAATACAAAATATACTCCTCGATGATTTTCAAGAATATCATCTCCAAAGTGCCCATACTAACAGTATAATGCGCAACACCCATATTCTTCTTATGCTGCTCTAAAATCTCAATCACCTGAACGACTTGGCCCTTTCTATTCTGTGACGCAGCAAAGGCCTCATCGGCAGTGCTATTAGCCGGTATACTAAAACGGAATTGTCCGCCCAGACTTAACCCTCTGAAGTTTGCACCTGGAAACGTCTTGCGAATCCATGCTTCGACCTTTTGCATTTCCATCTGGTCAGAGGATGGTGCTGATTCTAACACCAAATGTACTTCGTAGGAGTTGCTGTGTCTGTTGCGGAGTTCTTGGATTGTGCCCGCGGCGAGGATGCGTTTTGAAAGGATTGCGACGCGTGTTGCTAGCATGTCTGCTTCTTCCATTGAGTGTGTCTGGAGACCGTTAGTACGTGATGCAAATCGAGACAGTAGGTACTTGCCGTCAACAGAACTGAGCGACTTGATGAAATGCCTGAGAGCATAGCCCACATGTCGCGCTTAGCTATAGGGTCCATCGCTGAACTCGGCTCATCAAGGATGAGGATTGGTGGGTTGCCTGTACCTGTCAGTTTTGTTCGGTGGTGTTAGGCGATATATCATACCTAGCAACGCAATAGCCAAACTCAACTTTCGCTTGTTTCCGCCGGATAACCGGGATGTTAGCTTGTCGGCGTGAGGCCTCAGTCCAACCTTGGACATGACCAAGTTGACGTTCCTATGAACATCTGCGATACCCTTGACGCGAGCGTAAAAAGCGAGCTGTTGACGGACAGTGATTTGATCCAAGGCGTCAAACTGTGGGCAATCTATAACATCATCAGTAGGTGAAAGGGCCCGGTAGATGTCGATGCTTACAGCCAATGCTCTGTCGCCCTGCTCGAGTATCCTTCTGCATATCCACACCCTTGATGTAGATGTTGCCGTAATCTGGGCGAACTTCACCTCGCATCATGTTGATGGTGGTCGTCTTGCCGGCTCCATTGGGCCCAAGAATCGCTGTTTGGTGTTAGTTGAGATGTAGACGGGGGTCGCGTACAGAACTTACCCAATAGCTCACCCTTCGCCATAGTGAGCGATACACCATCAACAGCAACATTACCACCAAAAGACTTATAAATCTGATCAACATCGACCAGGTTCCCACTCATGCCTCGAGACTTTGTCATCGGCGCCATCTCAATGTGAGCATTCTTCCCGTTGGTCCTCTTCCTTTGATACAGCGGCACGACATGCTCTGCCCACAAAGTTCGGAGAGTCCATGTCCTTGCGTCAAGCAACAACAAAAGAGCAAACAAATACGCGACTTGAATGCAGAGGAGAAGAATCGGGCCGCCGTAGGCATGGATGTTGCCGGGATAGCTTATCACTGCATCACCACGACATCCTGCGGCCCAGACGTTGAGACCGACGACCATGGCGCGAAAGAGGTTGGCGACAGGGAAGATAAGACCAAGAATGAACACCGCTGTGTCCATGGATGAAGACCTATTGCCTGGGCTTTGGTTGACAGAGGCAATCTGACAAGTCAGCATGCGTTCTCTTGGGATAGGTGAAGTGACATACCATGAGTCCTGCGACGGAGATGCCAAACATCAAGAGCGAAACACAGAAGGATATTCCAAAAGAAGAGAGTTCTGATCGAGCGAAGAGCGAAATGATGTAACACCAGAGCATCATTGCAAAGCCGTACAGAAGCATAACAGGGAAGAGATGCCAAGCGCCGTACCACTTGAGAATGATCAAAGAGATAAATAAGGTTGATAGGCAGGATATAAGAATAACAAAGACTATGTCGACGATGATATGGGATGTCCATAGCGCAAGAGGTTGGATCGAGTTGGAGTATTGTAGGGTTCGAATCTTTCGAAGTCGTTCGTAGGCAGGGTATAGAGCGAAGAAGGCTGGGTAGAGGACATGCAGGACGGTGAGTAACTAGTCAGCATTAGTGTTATCCAACGAAGGAGGCAAAGGGTGACCTACGATAGCGAGAAACATGCCAGGGCCAGGGTCAGACTGTTTACATGGTCAGTGGATGCCAAGAAAACAAAATATATGGTTGCATACCGGTATCGAAGAGCTGAAGTATGCAAAAGAAAGAGAGATTGGAGTTTCACTCTTCAGCTGACTCCACATATTCAGCATCAACATCGATCCATCAGCCCCATGCTCGGCGTTATACGCAAACGTATCTTTGTCCTTCCCATCCATGTACAGCGCTCCGGGTACAAGTTGTCTCGGCTTATCACGAACTTGCTTCAAGAAAGCATCATAGTCATCTTGAAACTTGAATTGATCTTGGTAGGCCTTAATGTCATATTCTTTTCCAATAGGATACTTGGACAATGAGCGAAAGAGAGTCTTGTTGAGAGTGTTTGGGCCAACGAGCATGGTGATATTATCGGAACCAGCGAGATCATAGTAGCCGTTCGGGCGAAGAGCTATGGGCCATGGTTCGTCAAGGATGGATGAGTCGGTTGATACGCAGGGTGTTGGTTGGAAGGGAGTGGGATCGTTGGCCATGGCGCTGAAGACGGGTGTGAAAATTAGTGGGATTGCGAGGGCGAGAATATACCACCAGAAGCCTCTCTTCAGAACTAAAAGACGCTTGAGGAGGAGAGCTGAGAGTTGTTGGAAGAATGAAGCTTGGGTTCCTGAACTGAGCTGACTGTCTGGTGTTTCGTTCCCTTCAAGAAAAGGACTCCGGTCAGAAGTTCCAACATCGTCGTCCTCACCTTCATCGGCGACCTTGAGGAAAACATCTTCCATAGTAGGTCCACTCAATGAAGTATCAGAGTATCCCGCTGCTTGTAGAGACGTCAAAAGCGCTGCAGCAGATGTCGAATCAGGAGTGTTAAACACAGTCTGCCCTTGGTGCACAGTCGTACTATATGGTGTATCCGGGGGATTCTGAACGCCAGGTAAATGGACTCGATAACCTCCTCCGTGGAGATTCTTCAGTGCTGCCGTTGAACCCTGACACTTGACGTGTCCGTGCGATACAATGACAACTTGATCGGCCAAAACTTCGCATTCATCGAGGAAATGGGTTGTGAGGATAAGACTTCGCTTCTGACGTTCGGCAAGGATGATGTTCCACATCGCTCTTCGAGAGACAGGGTCCTATATCCGTCAGTGAGTGCAGTATAATGTGATGGAGTTACGTACCATACCGGTGGTTACTTCGTCCATGAGACAGATTGAACTACCGCCTGCTAACATACATAGCATTTGGACCTTTCTCATCTGACCTCCGCTGAGTGTACCGACAGGACTGTGCTTCTTTAGGGATAGATCGCAGGATTCGACGAGGGTGTCTAGAGATTGGAGATCTGTTGCTCCGCCTTTCATCATGGCCCAAAGTCTACCGTGTTCGAGGACTGAAAGCTCGGGCCAGTGGATGTTGCGTTGAGGGCAGATGCCTTGCGAGTTAGTTCAAGAACCGAGTCGTGATGATAAACTTACCCAGGTTTGAGCGAGGGGCATTAACATTGATCGAGCCACTTGTAAGCTTTTGCGTACCAGCAATCAAACCTAGTGTTGTTGTCTTGCCAGATCCATTGATACCAAGAAGACACAAGACTTGCTTCCTCTGCATGGAAAGGCTAAGCGAATTGACAGCTATCGTGGGACGAGCTCTTCGGCAGCACCGTCTCCAAAGTGAAGGTTTATATGTTTTCGTGAGGTCTACAATCTCGAGGGCCGTTGGATTATCGGTCGCGTTGGCGCTTGTGAACTTTCTACCCTT